GAGGGACAGCTCGGCGCAGGTCATCAAACGTGTGATCCAGGCCTGTGGCAGCATATATAAAAATGGCCTGCAGTACTTGTGCAGCCTCACGGATCCCAGCGACAGTGCAGAGCAGGCATGGAATATCCTTAGTTTGATCAAGGCTCAAATTCTGGACCTGATTGACAACGAGAACGATGGCATACGCACCAATGCAATTAAGTTCCTAGAGGGCATCATAGTCCTGCAGAGCTTTGCCGACGAGGACAGCCTCAAGCGGGAGGGCGACTTCTCCCTGGCAGACGTTCCCGACCATTGCAAGCTCTTTCGCGCCCAAAAGTTGCAGGAGGAGGGCACCAACATATTCGACATCATGCTGCAGTTCCACGGCACAACACACATATCTTCTGTGAACCTGATTGCGTGCACCAGCAGCCTGTGTACGGTGGCCAAGATGCGACCCGTTTTCATGGGAGCCGTGGTGGAGGCCTTCAAGCAGCTCAATGCAAATCTTCCGCCTACGCTCACTGACTCCCAGGTGAGTTCAGTCCGCAAGAGCCTCAAGATGCAGCTGCAGACGCTGCTGAAGAACAAGGGGGCCTACGAATTCTCTGCTACGATACGAGGCATGCTGGTGGACTTGGGCTCCACGTCCAATGAGATACAGAAACTGATACCCAAGATGGACAAGCAGGAAACGGCTCGGCGCCAAAAGCGCATTTTAGAAAACGCGGCCCAGAGTCTGGCGAAAAAAGCGCGGATCGCCAGCGAGCAGCGAGTGCAGGAGACGCGGGAACTGGAACTCGACGAGGAAGAGCTTGAGCGCCAGCGACAAAAGTCCACCAGGGTCAACGAAAAATTTCTGGCCGAACATTTCCGAGCCCCAGAGACGGTGGTCAGCTTGGTCGTCGAGTTTCTACCTGGACTGCCAGCGGAGGTGCCGGACAGGTTTCTCGCCGAGTACACGCCCATCAAACAAATGTCTCTGCAGCAGCAGGTCAGCAACATATCGCGGATCTTTGGCGAGCAGCTGACAGAAAATCGCCTTGGTCCAGGTGCGGCAACCTTCAGTAGGGAGCCGCCCATGAGAGCCAAGGCAAATCGAGAAGTATCTGAGCCCTCTGAACTGCCTCTGGTCACCCCAATGGAAGTGGACGAAGAATCGGAAACGGCCCGAAAGTTGAGCGAGGAAGATCTGCAGCGCAAGGAAGAGGCCACGAAGAAACTGCGAGAGACCATGGAACGGGCGAAGGGCGAACAGACTGTCATTGAGCGTATGAAAGAGCGGGCCAAGACGCTGAAGCTACAGGAGATCACCAAACCTCTTTCCCGCAACGCAAAGGAAAAGTTCCTGTTGGATGCAGTCAAGCGCATACTGAACTCGGAACGGCAGTGCGTCAAGGGTGGAGTGTCTTCCAAGCGCCGCAAGCTGGTTACTGTCATAGCGGCCACATTTCCAGACAATGTGCGCTACGGAATCATGGAGTTTATTCTGGAGGATGTAAGGCAGCGCATAGATCTTGCCTTCTCCTGGCTCTTTGAGGAGTACTCCCTGCTGCAGGGTTTCACCAGGCACACCTATGTCAAGAGAGAGAACCGACCCGATCATGCCTACAACGAGCTCTTGAATCAGCTCATCTTCGGAATCAACGAGCGGTGTGAGCACAAAGAGAAGATAATTCTGCTCCGCCGCGTGTACCTGGAAGCGCCTATCTTGCCAGAAGATGTCGTGGGGGACCTGGTCCAGCTAAGTCTAGTCGATGAGTTTTCACAGCATGGTCTGGACCTGATCAAAGATCTGGCCGTATTGAGGCCGCCGAGAAAAAACCGCTTTATACGAATTCTACTAAACTTTTCTGTACACGAACGTGCTGACCTGCGAGAGCGTTCTCTGGGCCACTTGGTCAACCTCTACCATGTGCACAAGATTTTGCCAGCTAGGATCGATGAGTTTGCCCTAGAATGGCTGAAATTTCTCGAGCAAGAGAGGCCTCCGCCGTCCATTTTCTCACAGGACTTTGGCAGGCCCACCGCCGAGACAGACTGGCGCGAGGACACCACCAAGGTGTGTCTGGGCCTGGCTCTCACACTGTTGCCCTACAAACCGGAAGGTAAGTGAGGACGTTTGACCAATAATATGCATATACAGCGAATCTCCTCCTCGCCCTTATTCTAGTTTACGTTGAGAAAATATGCCAAGTTTTTGTGACCACATCCGCGGAGCTGAAGCGCACGATCTTGCGCAGTCTGGACATTCCCATAAAGAAGCTTGGCGTGGAGAATGCCACCCTGTTGCAGTTAATAGAGGAGTGCCCAAAGGGAATGGAGACCCTTGTGATCCGCATAATCTATATACTGACAGAGCGAGTGCCGACACCACCCGTGGATCTGGTGCGACGAGTGCGAGACCTTTACCAGAACAGGGTTCAGGATGTGCGTGTTATGATACCAGTGCTGAGTGGCCTGTCCCGCTCCGAGCTAATCAGCGTGTTGCCCAAACTGATCAAACTGAATCCGGCCGTGGTCAAGGAGGTGTTCAACCGGCTGTTGGGCATTGGGGCCGAGTTTGCCAACCAGACGATGGCTCTGTCGCCCACTGATCTCCTGGTGGCCCTTCACACCATCGATACGAATGTTTGTGATCTGAAGTCCATAGTAAAGGCTACGTCCCTTTGTCTGGCCGAGCGGGAGTTGTACACGCAGGAAGTACTCATGGCCGTCCTCCAGCAATTAGTGGAAGTTGTTCCATTGCCAACCCTGATGATGCGTACAACGATCCAGAGTCTGACGCTCTATCCGCGACTCTCCAACTTTCTGCTGAATTTGCTGCAGAGACTGATAATGAAGCAGGTCTGGCGGCAGAAGGTCATCTGGGAGGGATTCCTCAGGACGGTACAGCGCCTCAAGCCGCAGTCTCTGCCGGTTCTGTTAAACCTTCCCCCAGCGCAGCTTCAGGACGCTCTCCAGCAGTGTCCCGACCTGCGACCTGCTCTGCTGGAGTATGCAGACAGCGTGCAGGATGAGCCGATGAATGGCAGTGGGATTACACAGCAGATAATGGATATAATCTCAGGAAAGGCGGTAGATGTCTTCATTACGGTAAAGATAATTTTGTGCCCTTTCATAAGGCTTTCCTTAATTATTTTTTGTTCGCAGGACGAAAGTGGCGGCTACATGTCCGCGGATCAGATTAAAAAGGAGGTGCAGGATCCCTCAGACATCTGCGTAATTTCCACAGTGCCCGTGCTGATGTCTCTGACGCCCTTGCCCGTTCCCGCTCCAGTCTCAAGCGATCTTAACCAGCCCTTACCACCTGGCGAGGAATAGGGCGTATCCCGGGGCGAAATATTAATTGTTTTGTTTGGATACATATAAGATTCTTCATTTTTACGAATAAGACAAATATTTCACTTAGACTGTTACTTCGGCTTCCATTTTTGCTCCTGTCAGGGCAGCTAGGATATTCCGCGCCGTGATGCGCGACATCTCCTTGCGTGTTTCGATATCGGCGCTTCCAATATGCGGCAATATAACCACATTATCCAATTTGAGAAGCGGATCATCAAGAGGAAGGGGCTCTGGAGTAGTCACGTCCAAGCCGGCAGCCAGGATACGTTTGGATTCGAGTGCTTCATGCAAAGCCTTCTGGTCAACCACCCCACCACGCGCAGTGTTTATAAAAATGCAATTGGGCTTCATCTTCTTGAAAGCCTCTCCGTTGAAAATCTCCTTGGTTTCCGGGGTCAAAGCACAGCAGGCCACGATAAAGTCTGAGTTTCGCAGCATCTCATCAAAGTCCACATGACGGCCGTTCACCGCTGCCGCCTCTTGCGGACGAGCCGTTCGGGTCGTGTAGGTTATCTCGGCAGGCTTGAAAGGGAAAATTCGCGCTGCTATCTCCTGACCAATGCGTCCAAAGCCCAAGAGCCCCACCCGCGACCCCTTCAGGCCCTGTCCGCACATCCACATGGGCGCCCAAGACTTCCAGCCACCGTTGTAGACTTGCTTACTCGCCTCAAAGAGACGTCGATTGGTAGCCAGCAGCAGCGCGAGCGTCAACTCCGCCGTGGCATCGGTCAGCACATCCGGGGTGAAGCCCACTCGTATTCCACGCTTCTTGCACTCCTCCACGTCAATATGCTCATAGCCCACGGAGATGGTGGACACACATTTTAGCTGAGAGCCAGCCGCGTCCAAAACCTCTGCATCGATCCTGTCTGTAAGAGCGCAGTAAACGGCGTCCCTTCCAACAACCTCACGCAACAGCTCTTCGCGGGGTACGGGCAGAGCTTCCTTCCATGTGCTTACATTGCAACTGAAGTATAAATAATAAATATTCTACATATTATATATGCATTTTACCACAGCCGGCTACTAGACCAAAAACCACCTCTTACGCAGCAAATCAAGACCGCTGGCATCCACATCTGGTCGGGTCACATACACACTTGGTCTAGAGCTCATAGTTCTTTTTCCACGTAAGCGTAATACCGGCAACAGCTTTCTGCTTTGTGTCAGTAGCAAGAGTGGTCGCATTAAAAAAGAAAATTGAAAAATACAAAGAGTGCCAATAAGTAACAGGTTTTAGCGCACTGCAGTGTTGACACATCAGCTTTTTTTCGACTGATCTAGCTTTTTATTTTAAAGTTTATAAACAATCTAAAATAGAGTCCTTAAAATTAGACAATCTTGTAGAAAGTTGATTCATATATTGGATAAAATGATATGTGCAGTGCTGAGTGTCCTAGCTGGCTGGTAATATTAAACCGAATTTCAAAATCCAGGAATATGATTTCTGATCATGGACAGAGAACGATTAACCCATTGTCGACCAGCGGGTATTTAGATTTTCGCACGAATATTATGAAACTTAATACATTTTTTACTCATATCAGGTGAAAGATATCGTGGTAATATGTTTTCGTAACTAAAGAGGAAGGATGGATCTACAAGAAGAATATACAAGCAGCCTAATTTTCCGCGGCTTTATCCAAGAGTTTTCACTGTTTAAATAGAGGGGGTTAAGTGGGCTAAGTTCGTTCACTCAGATTTCCATCAATGTTTTTGTTTAGAAACAAAAAATTGCCGGTGGGCATTCGTAAAACTCTGACAAAACTTCCTGCAACTATTGTCTTTGCGTCCCTTCAGGAGAGTCGCGGCGTGAAAACCATCGCTAGCCGAATGGGTCCATCTACTCCACCAAAGGAGCTGACAACCGAAATGGTCTCGCAACTTGGAAAGCCACCGAAAATGCGCGAAGACCCTGCGTTCAAGAAGATAGATAGTCCCGAGTTCCACGGCATTTTTACTCCGGAAGTGGACTCGTTGGTGTCCCTCTTTAAGAAGTATGACTATGAGCTGAGAATTGCCGGCGGAGCCGTCCGCGACATACTCATGGGTATCAAGCCAAAGGACATTGATTTCGCCACCACAGCCACGCCAGATCAGATGAAGGAGATGTTCACCAAAGAAAACGTGCGTATGATCAATGCCAAAGGCGAGAAGCATGGTACCATTACTCCGCGCATCAATGGCAAGGAGAACTTCGAGGTGACGACACTGCGCATCGACGTCCGGACCAATGGTCGACACGCTGACGTGGTTTTCACTACAGACTGGCAGCTGGATGCAAACCGTCGTGACCTGACCATAAACTCCATGTTCCTAAGCTTTGACGGCACTGTCTATGACTACTTCTATGGCTACGATGATCTGCAGCAGCGCCGCGTTGTCTTTGTTGGCGATGCCGACATACGAATCAAAGAGGACTATTTGCGCATTCTGCGCTACTTTCGGTTTTACGGACGAATTGCAAATGATGCACAAAGTCATGATGTCAGCACCCTGGCCGCAATCAAGGAAAACGCCGAAGGTTTGGCAAGGGTAAGCGGCGAGCGAATCTGGTCAGAGCTGCAGAAGATAATTGTGGGAAATTACGGACCCCAACTGGTGCTGCAGATGCACCGCTGCAATCTCATTCAGCAATGTGGGCTTCCTGTTGAGCCCAACTTGAAGGAATTTCAACGCCTTTGCGATGCCTTGGACCAGTTCGAGAAGCCACACTATCCCATATTGTATATGACGGGATTGATTCACTCTCTCGAAGAGACCATGATGCTGCACGAGCGCTTGAAGCTGTCCGCATTCGAAAGGGATCTGGCTCTGTTTATTACACAGCAGCGGGAGAGGGTAAACACAATGCTGTGCAGTACAGGTTCAGGATATCTTATTAAAATGCTTGTTTTCCAGGTGGACTCGGAGTACACTACCCTACGCGATTATCAAAAACTGTGTCTGCAACCGTATGCCAAGCGGGACTACGTCGAGCAACTCCTCAAGTATACCCGCAAAGTGGAGCTCTACAATCAGTTGAAGGCATGGTCCACTCCCATTTTTCCCCTCAGTGGCAATATACTCAAGGATCATGGGCTTTCTGGCAAGAACCTGGGCACTGGACTGTCACTTCTGCGCCTCATGTGGGCAGACAGCGACTTCCAACTAACCTCTGATCAGTTACTGGAAAAGATTCCATACATCTTGGAGAAACTGCAATCGCCAAGCAACACAAATGCACCAAGCAAAAAGAAACGAACTGAGTAGCAGAATCTTTAGTTACGCATCTAAAGCACATTTTCTGTATATAGTATCTTGACTTAATATCCTGCAGTTTATTAAATTTTTGTTTGGAAACTATAAGGATTGTATCGCCTTTTGAATTGAATTCAATTGTTTGTAACTATGTTGCGTTGCCATTAGATAACTACGCTTTTGTGAATATCTGAATGGGCCGCTTGAATCCCGTTTTGCAGTGTTCAGGGATGCCCATCAGCTCCATACTGGCAAAGCCCACCTCTGGACTGAGCAGATATTCCGGGAACTGGTCAGGTCGAAATTTGATGGAATTGTAGTTATCTCGGATGCTCTCCTAAAAGCAAAGTACTCTCAATGTGAATTGTTATCATCTTAGATTATATATGCATTCACTTACCGATAGCCTTTTACGTCTCTTGTAGCCGTCAAAAGATTGAGGCTCTAGGATGAGTTTTCCGCCCGGACGCAGCTGCAGAAACATGCGGCGGAATGCCTGCTTCAGGCCAGCATCACAGAAGTTAAGGTGAATCCACTTGGTGACCGAGAGACATAATATCACATCGAACTGGGGACGCTCTATCTCCAGCAGTACATCGTCGTCCAGCACGTAGTTGCCATGCAAGAATTTCACATTGTAAGGAAACGTAGACCCTGGAGGCGCCAGGCGCTTCAGGGAGCCAATGGTCGTTTGAGCATCCTTCACAAGACCGCGGTCAATGTCCAGGCCGACGAGACTCTTGGCATTGAACTTCTTGCAAATTTCAATAGACAGATGCCCCGAATTGCAGCCGATGTCGAGCAGTTGCTTGTCCCGGAAAAGCTCCGGCTGAGTGGCCAGCACATCCAAGCGAATGTCGTGGAAGTCCTTATCGAGTATGCGCTTTCCATAATAGTGCTTGTAGTTACCATACAGGAAATTGAGATCTTTGTTGTACTTGGGTTTGTTATTCGAAGGTTTCCCCTCCAGTTGCAGGCGCTTTTTTGGGCTCTGTGGTGGAGGGCGTGGGGCAGTCGCCACATCGGAGCAGTCCTCTTTCAGTCTTTTGATTTCCACTGGCTTGTCATCGGAGGTAGCTGTAGCTTTTCTCTTCTCTGGACACTTTTCTGGTGCGTTCGCAGGTGGTAACTGCGTGTTGTTGTTTTCCACGTCCATGGTGAAATCTAAAAGGTTTTAAAACAGATCAAGGTGGTGCCGTGAAATGCGTAAATTGATATTGAAAACATACCCATCTGTTGATTTCTGATGTATTGTATTCAAAATGTGTGATTTTTTATGTTTTAAACTAAAAAACAACATTAACGCGGGAAATGGACATGGAAATTTTGGTCGTTCGAACACCTTAACCCACCTAACACACCAATAAAAAGCCTATATTTAAAACTTGTGTTAAAACAAGGAATATAATCCTGTTTATAAATTTACCTTGTAGATTAATCTTTCCTCTTTATTTAGAAAACAAAATGACCACGATATCTTTCTCTTTATTTTTGCTAAATTCTTCAAGTGCGTAGTTAAGTTGAAATACCCACTGGTCGAAAATGGGTTAATCGTTCTCTGTCCATGATCATAAATCACATTCCTGCATTTTGATATTCGGCTTAATATTACTAGCTAGCTAAGACTCTCAGACTTCAACATATAATTTTATCTGATTGATGAATAAATGTTTTACAGGATTGGCTGATTTAAGTTATTTCTTTCCATTTGATCGTCTAGCAAAACGGATTTAAACAAAAATCTTCACATCATTGAGTTTCTTTTTCTACACAGACACTACACAGGGATGATTTTTGCAACATGGCAACTACACAGGTTTGAAATTTTCACGTAAAACGTAAGTACGGTATAAAACGTAAGAATGCTTACGTGTTTACTGGTAATTTGAATTTCAAATTTTGTACCGTTTGAACAAATTTCAAACCTATGAGTTAATGAATGCAGCCAAAAACTTAACTGTCGCTCGGACATGAACGGATTATAATTAAATTTTTTCTATTTTAAATGAATTTCGATTTGATTATTTCTTAACTTTGACGGTTCGTTGAATTCATTTCATTTCCTTTTTGAATTCTGGAAACCAATTTTCAGCTCGGAAAAAAACTGTTGGAAAATTTAAATTTAACATCACATCCAATATACACTTTGGCGACAATTTAAAATTTGTCTATTCAACCTCCCCCTGTACATCAAAACTACATTTCAAGTAAATCTCACTATTTCTCACTATTTGCATAACAAAGCCAGCCTACGCGCATACGTTTGTGAATTTGCAATTTTAAATCACGACCATTTTTTTTAATATCCGTTAAATGTGTAGCCGAGTAGCCGGGCGAAACCGCTTTCTGACCAGTAGAGCGCATGCCGCATGTTGACCCACATCCGCAAAAGGGAGAGCAAAATATACCAATTATAATTCGGACAGGACCGCGGCCGCGTCGGTCATTTGAAGTGCAGGCAGGGGTTGAATTTTAATTTTTCATTAATGGACACACGCACAGAAATGATCCGGCATCGACTCAAATTTATCCGACATGTAGGTGGGTTTTTTAAAGAAAAATCTTCTTCAAAAAAATATATAAAATATGTACGACACCTTTATTGATGGGGCAACTAGACTTCTAAAATCCTTTTTATTTTCCCAAAGCCTTATCAACATACCATAACCCAAAGTGCTCATTAAGCGGCAAGAGATAAATTCTATCAAAATAAATTGTAAATTTTCCATAAAAAGAAAGGGTTTGCACAAGACATTTCCCAGGCAGAACTTGTGCAATGTGAAAGGAAAAATTCAAATAAAATTTCAGCTGAAATTATGAGACACAGCAAGGCAGGGGAGAGGGTTGGTCCGCCTAGAAACCAGTTTTAGCTACTTTTCCGAACAAAAGGATGCAACATCTATTAAAACTTCAAATGACTTGTTGTTTTTGCCCCTCTGCAGCTTCCGCCCGTCCGCACCGTCCACGTCCCTTGATGGATGGGTCACGCACACACGGACAACTGGCATCCCGAGGCATATGAAATTCAAAACCCGTTTGACGTGCTCGACTGCAAGGAACCAAAGCTGCACAGCGTCCATCAGTAATCTGCTGCACATGCGCAGCCCAGCACTCTGGGCTCGGAGCAGGAGCGAAATTAGAAAGGATTTGTTTGGTCAAATCCTTCGGCGGGCATGAACAAAATTTGAATACCCATATGTATGCCGTTACCCTGTAGGGCGGCGTCGCTAACAAGCGCACCGCGCACAATACCCGGAGTTGACAACGCGATGGGCAACGCAATGGGCTGCGGCTGTCCAAGGGTCCGTGGTCCAGCAGCAGCAGCAGCAGCAGCAGGGCCCTGGTAATTCAAGTCGTTCGGGGGTAGCAAAGGGTTGCCCGCGCTATTGTAACTTTATAATTTTGGGTCAGCGTGCTGGTCTTCTCTCGAGCCCACCTCCCCCCATCCCTTCCACATACAATTTTTTTTATTTTATGCACACAAATGTAGCATCAAATTATTTTGAAAAATCTATGTTCCTGTTGTTGTGTGGCTGCTGCGTCCTATCGATCATTTGCATATTTAGTGAATGAGTGAAAAGTCTGTACAGATTTGGTTTACTTTTTTGTTTTTACTAAATATATATTTTTAGATGAAGGTGACATGAAAGAGGATATTAATTTATTAACCAGTTGCCTGCAACTCCACACACTATGTACATACATTCTAGACTCGGCTCAAGAATCGATATATCCGGGTATGATTTCAGGTTACTATGTCCGTCAGACTTAAAACTATCTGGCTAAAAGATTATGAAAAATCCTAATTGTATATTTGTAAGCCACGACCGCCAATTCTGGACAGAAATCCGGTGAGATAGTTTTCATCTGAATCTAATTCAACAAAAAGCTGGAAATTGGTGTTTTATTGGTACATATACATTTACATATATGTATGTACGTTCATTACACAGAAAAAAAATCAAAATCATAATATACCTTCCATAGAAACGATCGAGACCACAGTACTCTATACAGAATATGTAAATGAACATTAAAATAATCTGCTGGGTATATAAAGTGTCAACACTCCGAAGCTGGGCTCCTTAATAGTTTGTATGACTGCATCCGAGTGGATGCCTGGAATAGATCTCTCAAAATTGAAGATTTCTTTTTCACAATGAAAGTAATGAACTGATTTTATTATAAATTATTATATAATTATTTTTAACGGGTATTGTTTATATTTATTCCGATTTTTCATTTAGTCGAAATGATTTTCTGGGTACGAGTACGAGCATGTATGCCGGACTGGTGCGTTTAGTTATTTTGTAATATTTAGCTTAGAGCTAAGCAGAATCGAACTGCAGGAAATGTCGAGTACAGTTCACCTTTGGTACACTTTCCTCATTAATCTGCATGGCTATTGGCACTCGATGCCATAAATCCAGCTTAATGCGGCATTGACCCACAAAACCAGGCCATAGTCGAGGCCGGGCCGGATACCTCTTCTTAGACAGCAGTCTTCACGGGTGAACGCATTTAGCAGTTCAAGCTGGCATAACAGAAACCAAAGACGAACTCTGAACCTACCCCGCAGTCGGGTCAATGAAAAATCGTTTCAGTTTTGAGGCAAAAATCATTAAATTCGTCACAAAAAATCTAAGAAAAGGGGGAAGTTTAAGGAAAACTGGCAGGCAAGGGTTGGAGACCTCAGACAGACCTTTGGCAAGGAGTAGACGATCTTCTTTTGTTTGCATTTCACCTCTACGCGTAATTTACTATGAACCCGGGGAGGATCAGTGGATGAGGATGAAGAAGGCTGATGACTATCTTCGACCCAGTACTGGGTATTGGGGTTGGTGCTGCAGCCTCAGCAAAAGTGACATCATAAGACGTGACACATTTGAACTCGGGATCGAAGTAGAGGATAGAGGACCGAGGACCGAGGACCGAGGACCTCTTGCAATGCTCATACTTTGCACCCTTTGATACCTGGGCTGGGGTTTTCGGTTATTTGATCGCTCGTAAATTTCTTTTCGCTGGGCTATATTCCGCTTCATGATCTCAATCGCAATCTTTTGGCGATTTTTGCACTGTGGGAAATTTTTGCGGAAGGAAGCG